GCCGGGGAAAGGCGGAACGCGCCTCGACCCGGACCACATGAGTATTAAGGGAAAAGAAGGATGCCCCGCGCGAGGAAAGGATCACTGGCAACAGGGGAAAAGAAGAGGGAAAATGTGCACGGCGATGACGATTCGAATTTTCCGTTGAATTCCGGGCCGGCGAATCCCACGAGCCAGGTACGATCGTTGTTAATTAATAGAGTAGAATCCCGGGATGGGCGGGGAATCGAGGCGAACCAAACAGCGAAATCAATCGAACGGTTTTCCCGTTTTTAACGGGAAATCTATTTTTATCGGAGAATCACCACGGGTTAGAGTAAAATCTTCAATTCTTGTTGGTCGTTTTTTTTTATGACAATGATTCGCATACTTGTCCGAGGATGTTTGAAAGGATAATTCGTTGAAGAGTTGCATTGAGTTTCTAAGAGAGAATTGTATTGAATTTCTTTTAATGTAAAATGAGCAATTACGCTGTTTCTCATTGACATTTACTGCATTAACGTCTCGTCATTACTTTTAATCTCAGTTTCCTTATGCATTCGTGACGTGTACAAGTTAAATGTAGATTCGATGAAAAAGATAATTGATTCGTCGATAAAAAGAGAATTCATAGGATTTTAACGGTAATAGTATCTCGTTAAATGATGATTTAATTATTTTGTGTGACGCGTGGCTCGTGTAAATGGGTAGGATTATCTTGTACCGAAGTCTGTGAATCATTTTACTCTTCAAGATCATTGCGTCTTCATTGAAGAGATTGCTAAAAACTTACAAATGATGAAGATACGTTTACTGGTTTAATTATTCGTTATTCTAATGAGATTCTACTTAAATGGCAAGTCTCCAATTCGAATCATTTTCAATGAAATCTATGAGTCATGCTGTTTGCCATTCGGTATGCTTAATTTTAATTGTTCAACGTGTAAAAAAATAAATCGAGAATTCACCGCCAACACTGAAATTAATTCATTATACGGTGAAATTTGTCCGTGTTTCTGAAATGCTAATGAGCTTTTAATGAAATATCACGTGTATCCGATTTAGTTCGCCTCCGTTCCTCTTAGCCACCGTTCCCAAGTATCGATCAATTAATTTAGAATATATATATATACAAGATGTTTAAATAAATAAGAGTGATTCCATCGCCGTAAATTATCATAAATACGTCCCGAGTAAACAAGACAACTGGGAAGAACACACGGACGAATATAAAATACGCGGCCTCCTCGAGCAATTCATCACATGAGTTACTACCCTAAGCTACGTTCACGCACTGCCCCATTCGCCGTTCTCGTTTAATCGGTAGAAAACTATCGCGTGTCTCGTGACACGTCTTACACCGTAATGAATCCGCGACTCGAACGAACATGTCGCCGACGCTCCTACAATATCGTAGAAAAAGTCTTTGGACTTCGATGAACGTATAGATCCAGCCATTATCCTCAAACCTCACCCGTCGCTCCCCTCGGAATTGATCGATCGATCGTTCTCAGACCATCGTTTCGCTGTCGTTCCGGCACGAATTAACAAAAAGACTTTTCTTCTTAATTTCGACGAACATTTTCCCGGTTAAACACCACGGTAATTGCACCCATTAATGCTCGTTAACGCATTCCAGAAACTCTGAGCTTCCAATAACGAACGAAAACGAGGAAGAAAAAAGGTCGGCTACATCTGCTTCCGCAAAAGGCAGTGGAACCTGTTGAATTCTTCGGAATTACCATGTGCACAGCGAATAGTTTTGTCTTTGATATACGCGCGTATATATCAGGCCGGTTGACGATCCACGGCGACAACACGTCCGTGGATCGCGTTAAGTGCAACGGATGTAAGTAGGTGCATCGGCCAAAAAAGAATCCATCGATCATCTTCCACGAGCCTACCGGTCAGAATCGGCGCCGTAGATGCGAATCCTCGTATACATTTAGAGTACGCGTCGATTGGACTAGATTTATACGTTGTAAAACGGAGCACCGTGCGTTTTCCTCGCGCTCTGATCAGTTTTCATTAAAAACACCTTCGCGGGGCCGGTTGCCGACGCGTCGCTTCGCGATCGCGACCGATTCCCCGGGAATCATCGACCAATCCTGATCGCCGTAGCCTCGGCCTATAATACTTGGCCCGCGATACGCATTGCCGGACACGAATGACTTTTCCCGTGCATTAAGTACCGAAACCTGCTATGTTAAGTACCGTCCGACTCCATCCTAATGATGACAGGTGTCCGCGGACCCTTCGCGCGTAACTGCCGTCCAAAGAAAAGTTAATTGCTCCGGACTCTTTTTCAACGAGCCCGTCGCAGGCGGACGTATCGTTTAATAACGCGATCCGTCGCAGACGTTACCGTAACTAATTACGAATTCGCTTAATGGATTAATTCGAGGCGGACAGATAGGCCGGCCTGGAAACGAGAAACTCTCGTGAATCCCGACGGAGCGGTGTATCAAGAAACACGACCGGCGACGATCTCGTTTTTCCCGAGAGCCCGGGGGGAACGTTGACCCCTTCATCAGCTACGAATTATTCAATTTCAAGCTTAAATCGAACGCGATCCCCGGCGCATCGAACGTCTCGGCAAACAGATCGGGCGCTGTATAATCGAGTTTTAGAACGAGTTCACCTCCTGCTCGGTTTCCGAGTGCGAATCGGACGATCCCGCGCGAAATATGACCGGGAACATCGAACGAATTTCAATAAACGTTCGCGGCGATTAAACACGTTCGCTGGAAAAGGACTTGCCTAATTTAGTTTCACGAACGCGTCGAATTAAACGTTAAAGCGCGCCGTGGGCCGGCATACTAATCCCGGGAGCGTTGGCTAACGTTACCCCCGCGGCTTCGTAAATCGCCTTCCGGACGGCGCGCGCGAACGAAATAACCGTATTTTTATCCGGCACCGGATGCGATGCGCCTCACCGAGAATTTCGATATATCCGACGTCCGGAAAAGAAAGTCGGATGTCGCCCCGGAACTTCGTTCGTCCCGCTACGTTCTTTATTCAACCGGTCACGGGTTTACGTCCGCGGGACGACGCACGGCCGCGCGTTCTCAATTATCGTCGCATCCGAGAATTTTAATTCATCGTTCGAAACTCTGATAGAACCAGCCTAGCACCGTTGACAAACGCGACGCGCGTTTCGGAACCGCGCCTCGCTTGGACGGAATTATACGATCGAATACGATGCGAACCGGAAACGGGATTGGGGGGAACCGCGAACCGAAAGTCGCGAAGCGATTTCTCGTTTGCTCATCGGCAATGTCGAGCAACCGGATTCTTCGATAGGATCGAATAACACCGATCGAATCGAAGTTCAATACTGTTGAAATAAGCAGACGACTCGGTTTGCTAAGCGTTCCTCCGGAAACCCGTGCCCATTCGACGATCCAACGCTTCCGCTGCTACCGACGAGTAACGTTCTACGTTCGCGCGAGCAGCTCCCCGAGATTTCTATAGAACATTTCGGTAGCAGCAAAGATATCCACTTGTGTATACAAGCGCCTCGCTCCTCTATGCGATCTCTAGAAAATCTACATTGTATCATACAAAAGTACAAAAATCTCCCCGAAGCGGCACGACAGCGAACGTGTTAAGTGCTAAACTGTCCGCAAAAGGCACACGTGGAATCGTCTGCAATCGCGGTAGCAACCGGCGACGGCATTGCGTTTGCGTTCCGGCCAACGATCTCATTGATCAGGTGTATCGGCTCCGCGAATGGTCGCGACGCGTCCGATCGGATCCCGATCACGGGAAGCGACAGGGTAGCCAGCAAGCGGTGCCGGGCGTCTCGGGCGAACCGTCGGACACGTAGAGTGGAGCGGAGGACAAGCGAGTGCTCGTTCGAGTGGGGTAGTACTACCGTTGGGGATGCGAGTGCGACATATGTGGATGGTAGGCAGCGTGATGGGGCGGTAGAGGCGAGGGGCAGGATTGCTGATAGGGACCGCCGGCCAGCATGGGACCCGGGCTGGAGCATGGTACCAGGTGCGAGCTCGAGGAGCCCGCGTGTGCATGCGCGATCAGGTGCGCGTGCTGCGCGTGCGAGGGTGGCGCGTGCTGCGAACCCGGCGGCGGTGGCGGCGGCGGGGGTTGCGGATGGCCGGGAGGCCCTCCGGTCGGTCCGCCACCAGGATACCCGCCGTGCAGCGAGCCACCGTGCGGCGAGCCATACACCAGTTGCCTTACTTTCTGCTCGTCGTCGGCTATGTTGTAGGTCAGTTCGGTCTCCTCGAACCCGGTCGCGGACATCCTCTGATCGCCGGATGAGCCGGAGGTCGGCGGGTCCGGGCTGTTCAAGCAGGTCTGGATCAAAGCTTTGCCGGCCTCGCTCGTTATCATCGGCTGCAGCTTCCGTGTCGCGAACGTGTACACGTGCCCGGTCTCGCTCGCCACCAGCAGCATCACCTGCGTACCTGTTAGCGTCGACAGCTCGTACGCCTGCAATCAAACGATCGCGATTAGTTAGGAGTGTTGCTGTTGCGGGTTGACGTATCGCGCCGAGGGAAATGGTTGTTGCAGTTTATACTGGGAATGGAATGAATCGATGATATAGTGTGTCTGTTTACTTTTCTTAGGAGGATTGCGTTTCTTGTTGGGAAACGCTTTGAGGGCATGTCGAATGAAATGTTACGTCAAAGAACGTTTGATGGAATATTCTTTTTGTAAGCGTAAAATGCAAAAAATGGATGTTCTTGGCTGGTGGTAATATTCAATGGGAAATTTTTGGCTTCCGTTAAGTACTTGTTTTTTAATAGAAATTTAATGAGGTTTTGATACTGACTTCATTGTGCAGAATCGTGTATAGTTAAAGATCTAACATCCGGTTGTTTCTTAGGATCAAGTTAAGTCTGTCATTTGTTGGATGAATTTTTGATTGTTTTATTCGGTATTCTATTATCCAATGCTTCGTAACGTAGAAATGGGCACTGTAGTTAATTTTAATTCTTATAATGTCATGTACAGCTAAAGATTGTAACATTATAGGCGCACGTGACAAGGAATCATGATGAAGTTATTATTAGCGCTACTTAGGATATTTTAAAGTACCGAAAATAATGTGAATAATGTTATTAAATATTATGAAGTAATGGATTATAGAATCTAAGTAATATTACCATCTCAGACAATAGATACTTAGTGCAAATCTGTCTTCCAGTGATGCACCTTGCACAGTTTACTGTCTCCTTAAATGTCAATTGTGTAGGTGTATGCATACCATAAGAATGGCAGAGTTGTAGCAGGTTCTTGTCTATACTTATGACTGTACACAATAAAAATGTTACAACTGTTTTAACCTCTTTCTCGAAAACTGCTTGTTTGCAATACACGACATTTTTCAAACATTTCAAAGTAATAATTTCAGATGTTACGTGTTCATAAGTTTCCGTGGAAATATCCAACAATTCGTAGGTGTAACTTTACTGTACAAAATCTTGACTGCTAACTTTCGTAAATCCCACTGATTTTTGCATTTGTTTAGGAACTGCAGAGCCTAAATATCGAATATATAATTGTTTCAAAAATAGTAAACTCAAGCTTTCTTTTATAAATGGATTACAATTTATTATTGCCAAATTAATTTAACAATAGTTTACCTAAAGCAGACTGAAACGTAGAATAAAAAAAGAATCGAAGGGAGTAACAAATAGAAAAACTGAACTGTATCTTTGGAGAAGAGAAATTGCAGAAAAATGTATCTTGAAAGTGGTGGAACAAAAGGAACCTTGAAATTTGATATGTACTATAACGGGATGGCGCAGACAAATTTAGACAAAGACTAATGATACAAGGAGGTTCATGCGAAGTGGATCACATAAATATACAAAAGCCCAGAAGGCAAGCACCTTGTAAACAAGTCTTGCGTGAACTCTCAAAGAGTTAATTAAACATGGTCTAATCCTAAATTAACCATTTTCGGTTCGTTATAATTCTCTTTTAACGTTAAAAATAAGAATTTTCATATAGATAAAATACTTGTATGTTCATTGCAATAAACAAATTATCACTGAAATTATTTAATATCGTTAATTACATCCTTAGAAACTCTAATGTGAACGTGGAAAAAGAAAATCTAAAAAGGTTACCAACACACAACGAAATCAAAATTATAGTACACTGAAAGCAGCGTAAAATTATAGGAAAACGTAAATTTCCCAATGACGGATCAACGAACGATCACAAAATATTGTAATAAAAACGTTTAACCTGAGCGTGAAACGATATAAATCGAAATGAAATTTCATACTCGTGGAACGTTAAATGAAGTTTAAGTACGGCTATTACTGAAAGTTTCCCAGTCGCTCACCTAAATAATTTTCTTAGCGAGAATCTCTATCTTGAAGCGTGAGTTTAAACTTAGATCCTTGAAGAACGAAAGTATTACTAGGTAGTCCTCTAACCGTTTGACGTGTATCAGAAACACTTGATTTATTCCGGTCTTTATAGAGCACATTTATGCAAATCCTTGCCGCCTGCGCAGCCATTAACGCGCCATTTTGATAAATAATTAATTCGAAGTGCGCGCTGGAAAAACTCTGTTTGCATTTATACTCACGAGATCATACCATTAATTGCAGTGCAATTATCAACGTTTGTTTAACTGCTCCATGAGGATGGAAAATTGGAATTTATTCTCCTTGCATGGGAAATCCGTCATTCATATAAAAATACAGTGTACAATTAATTAGAGTCTAAGTTGTTCGACTCGTTAGTGCGAAATTCGTAGCTCTTGAATCGGAATAATATAAATGAATTTATTAGGAGAACTTGAATTTGAAAGTTATTGACGAATATATTTCCCAAAACTATGAAACTAACGTTTAACGAGTAATTTAAAGTTTTATTCATTTTATTTTACCAAACTTTAATTGTAGTTTGATAATCTGCATACGTTTTCGCAGCTGAATAATTCTTTTGACACAGTAACGCGAGTTAAATATTTCTTTTCGTTGTATCGTTTATGGAATGGAATACGTATTTTGCGTTTAACAACAGCGTTCCTTTTTCTAATACCGTTGTAAAGCAATTATGTCAGTTTCGTGTCAAAACATGGCTAATTATAGCAGGCCCGTCTTCAGAAAAGGGGAACAATCTATCTTTGGTTTTCTAAATTCGTATGAAAGATGCAATTTGCTTTAGGTTCTTCTACGGATTTAGCTGCGACATTCTCTGGATCAAGTAAAGATTTGTAATGCGATCAAATCGCGTTTTAAAGTGTAAGGTCTGTTAAAAACTTATTTCCACGTTTTTTCCTGTATCATTTTTCGTGCGCCGGCAAAGTGAATAATACTTTTCCATTTAAAAAGAATATAAAACAAGTTACAAAAGTCATTTAAACACGAAACACAGAATCGCTTTAATTTGATATAATCAAAATGAGGACAATCGTAGAATAATTTTAAATAGCGCGTAAAGATGATTCTTTTACGCCATTTTTAAGGTTTCCTCTAATAACTACAATATGGCCGCGTCCCAAAATACTGCTACAAGTTAATAATAGTTGTACATAGAATTGTAATCACGGTGAAATTTATTTACATAAAATTGTTTATGTGAAATTATGGGAATCCTAAATGGAACTTCATCTTCGTTCGTGAAATTCGATCGCCCGTTTTGAACGTTCGTTGATACAAATTGTCGGATGACTAAATTTACTCTTTCAGCAGCGAGTACAATCGCATACACTATACAACCCTCGAAACTACTAATTTATAAAATATTCGCGATAAACAAAGGAAATGATTCTTTACTAACTCTAGATAAAATCTTAAGGATTGTAGCTTATTATATTATTCGTGTTGACTGGATTTCAATGAATACAATTAACGACACAACATAGACGAACTTTTGGTGACTAGGATGAGAATTATCGTGCCTGAAGTTTCACGTTCTCGTCGATTTAAATATTTCCCTATAATTGATAATATCCAGCCCTGGATTCTCGAAAACTCTAATCATACAAACCTTTATCTTCTGACACGTATAATGAACAACTGAACTCTAGAGCAAGTCTTGACGGCAGCGGTCCACATTACGACTAGCTTTAAGTATCCTCTTGGCAACTATATTCCAGAATATCAAGTTTTTAAGTGCATTCTTGATTGTAACTAACGACATCATCAAATCCTGAATAAAATGTTCAAGATTGTAGGTGAAGAAGTACATGAAAAGCTTCAGATGTATTTTGATTATAATGAACAATATTATGCTGTCCTGAACGGAGTTTTAATGGTCACGATCAGTGATATTTAATTTTAATTAGGTGCTTGTTAATTAGAGTTTACTGTAGCTGAAAAATTTCCCATTATTTTCTAGGGTTTCGAACGTAGGGACTCCATGCCCTCGGGAGTTAAATCGGTAAGAATTATCTAATAATGATCAATATTTATATTACAAGCTGATCGCGATCTCCAGCGTATGACTCGATTCCCCTCGGTTTATTCAGATCCAAAATACACGGAGAAATTAGTGGCCTACGAGGGCGCAGTTGTCACTCATAAATTGCGCGCCGGTTGAAGTCATTGGCGCGCAATCCCCAGTCACGCGGCGACGCCGCGCGTCCCTTTCCTTCCATTAGATTGATACGCAGTGCTTTCCTAATTACTTTCAAATAATTACGTTCTGTCTTCTCAATGCAAAACTCTTCGTTCTTTCTAATTCGCTTGATTGAGTATTCGCTAAACAATATTTAACCATTAGCTGCTCTTACAATGAACCTATAATAAAGAATTATGGAAAAAGAATGATTTAAAAGCATTCTGATGACGTCATTAAAAAATTAAAATTTTTGTAATTATAACTGTGAAATGACAATTTTACGTTGAATAAATATTGACGTTTGTATCCAATTGGTTTGTGTCTTCTGATTTTTTTTAGCTGCAGTACTTGCTGCTGACGAGCAACCTTTTTTTTGTACCCTAAAAGCTGATACGTTGACCTTTCAGATTTATTTTATCCATTAAAAGTATTATATTTAAATAATAATTTTTACATTATCACGCAAATAAGTATAAATAAATAAATGAACCTCCACGTAATTAGTAAGGAGCATAATAGTCATTGAATAGGGGTTTAAGTTATTGGCCCTCTGGTGTACGTCTTAGGAAGCATGATGTTTCTGAACTTCAAGATTTTTAAATACTACGGATATTGTGCATTCCTGACTACTTATTGCGGTATTGCAAGTGTAAATCAATAAACTTTCAGTAATCACATTTCACTTAACTGATAACAACCCTGTTAGTATCTTTCACAATACCAAGCTGTTAAGATCGATTTTCAGTATCGACTGAATACATGTTTGCATAAATCCGAAAGCTATTTAAAAATTAATAAAACAGAAATTAAGTGATATTAGAGTTACTTTGATGAAAACATTTCAAAGATAAGTGGAGACTTAATTTACCACTCGTTGTTAGCTTATTACTATAAAATATAATCTGAATTATTTAAACATCTGTGTTTTTCCGTAAATAATAATTGTGTCTTAATAATTGTTATTAAGCTACAGAAAATAGTAGAATCATCATTTCCGATGAAAATAAGCTTTAACAACAATGGGAAAGAATCAGGACAATGATTGGATAAGGAAGAACAGGCAAAACGCGAAGGATAACGGTTACCATTCGGTGGTTATGCATGCCTTACAGTTTGCATGAATTTACACCGAAATAAAATGACAGCCGCCGCGGTGATGCATTCAAAACGAAAAGAAATCACTTGGAAACCGATCTCGTTAAAACGGTAACACATAGTCTCGTATTGAAATATTATTACATCCCCCGTTTGGTCTCCACTTCAAACACACGGGGAATTTCTTTGACACGAATAATCCGCGGAAACAACATCTCGAAAATCTCGTGTCCGTAAAATACTCCACTCCGATCCGATACGTTGGAGGAGCAACAAGTCACCACCGACATTTATATTTCATGTAACTACACGACGTTTAAAAGGGTGACGCGCAACGAAAATTTGACCGTGATAATAAAAATCTGAGTAACATTCATGCGCACCAACCCAACGTGTATATATATATACACATATATATATATATACCATATTTGGAAACCGGCTTTTCGATTCTATGGTGAAATTGAACGCACTGCAATAGCACCGGAGGGCTGCGCGAAGAAGAAGAGACACTCTCGATGGACACACAAAAGAAAAAATCGATCACAAGGATCGATCATCGTTACCAAACCTCGACACCACTCTCTGGCTTGTTTTACATGGAAATAGGTCGACAGGTTTGCCCGATACAAACCTTCTTCATGATTCCGGTTTTCCTTTTGGAGAAGGTGGTATACCTCCGTAGCTTATTGTCGATGTACTCCATTTTAATCTTAACCCGTCCTTTGGTTTTCTTGCCGTTTGACGGGGGTGACTTTTTCGGCTGGCCCAAACTGGTGAACGACTCCTCCAGATTGTCGGGGACACAGTCCCCGGACATCGACATACCCTGCTGTTGCGAAAGCGCCTGCCGTGCGTTACTGTCATCGTAACAGACGTCCGCAGTGGTCCTCTTGATACCCCTCTGTACAGGTCCCACGCCGGCGTTCGGTGCGCCTGCAGCAGCCGCCGCGGCCATCATGGTGGCGCCACCGCGGCTTATTTGAGAAGTTGTAAGCTGGGAGGTGGACGGTCGGCCGTACATTTCCGAGCCAGCGTCGCTGCCTATCATCCCCATGCTGTACCCAAGACTTGCGTACCGACTATCTCTTCCGCCGCTAGGGTTGTCCATTACGGACTCGCACACATTTATTCCCTTTCCCTCGGCCCTTCTTCGCCACGGAATCGCGAAAAGTCGGCGCAATGTTTCCCACGTGATCAACCATCTAGAGGAACACGGGACAACAACGCGCACTGCACGAGCGCTCCCCGCGAACTGAATGCGCGCTGTGTATCGTAACTTGACCTACGTGCTAACGCGGTGCCTCCGTGCGTTCCTGCGCAGCTTCTACCCCCACCAGCAATCGAGCACGCGGTAAAAAAGTAGTCCCACCATACGGGATAGCCCTTCGCGCAGGAAGATTTTGGAAAATTCTTTTACGAAAAAATTCAGCGGGTCACGAAGGTTCTAGATCCGGTGGCGAACGATCCCGTTGGGCCTTCGGTTACACGAAATTCGACTGGAAAATTTCAGGCGGAGTGGTACAAGAATCGACGAGAGGGCGTCCCCGGCTGCCATATTTAGAAGTAGACGTTACCATATTAGGGAAAGTTTGCCAAATATGGTGAACAGAGGTGGTCCTTCCTTTTCAAATGATCACTCGGCGCGCCGCGACAAAACACCAATCCAACTGACAGTAGCGCTTCCTGCACGCCTCTCCTCCCCCTCCTCTCTTTTACCGGTATGTCCTTCCTATTTCTACGTGCTTACTAAAACATAAGGCTGATAAGCGACTCTCTGTGTAGGGCCGCTATTTCTTGCCACGTCCGAGCTTTCGTGCTTTTATCAAGCTTTGTTTACGTTTAGTTTAACTGATCGTGTCGTGTTTCTGTTGGGCTGTGAACGACGACCAGAAATAATAAGAGTCGGCGTGTATCACTGTCGCGTGAAGTACTCATCATCAAAGTTTCCTCGTAACGAAATAGCTTTTACGTCCAAATTGGAGCAATAAGATGCTTCTGTTAATCTTGGTGAATGCTTCATAAGATTACATACATAGCTCAACAGAAATTACATTTGAATATTTTTAATCGAGTGTACATAGAATTTGCTAAAATTTGTAGTGGATGATTCTGTAAGCTTTACAAAATTCAACATAGTGATTGATACCACTGTCCTTAGTATATGTGCTAATGTTCTGTGTCAATATTGATGTGTTTTCATACCGGATTTTGTTTTTATATTCAAATGTTGAAAATCCGGACTACCAATAATTTATGTAGATTCAAGATAATAATTACTATGCAGTAACATATTGTTGCTATAATCTGCATAAAAGTAATAAAATAATAACTGAACATTGTATACGCAAAATATATCCCATTACACAGTAAGCCGTCTTTATAAATAAAGTGATAAAAATGTGAGTATTACTGACAATAATTTTATGGAAGCAATATTTATTGCAAACGTAGTACTTTATTTTAATGTAATCTTATTATAAAATAAAAAACAATTTTCAATATAATAAAATCTTAGAACTATATTACATGGTAAATAATATTTATATTATACAAGACTTACTTCTCATAAATTAGATATTCTATAGTATTTATATTATAATTTTTGTATTTATATATTTATATGTATGTATATGTGAAAAAATTAACTATTCACCAGATGCTACTGCATGTGCTGCAGATATTAAAGTATCATGTACTTCACGTGCATATGCAACTTGTGCCCGTACAGTCATTAAAAATTGAGGATAAGTTAAAGCTGGTCCTTCTTGTGCTCCAACAGTGTCAGTACGTGTAGGTATGACAGACACTGGTAAATACCGTAGAGCACTAGAATTCTGTGACAAACATTCTATAGATGTTTTTAAATGTAATTCTATTTGATCACAAATAGAATAAAATTCTTCCATATTCTTATTAAAACGATGGTCAGGTTGATCAATTCCTTTAAGAGATCCAACATCTACTAAACTATTTTGGTGCAATGTATGAGCTGCAGTCTTAAGAGCTATAGCTAATGATTCCCTCAGTGGTCCAATTAAAGACTTCACTTTAGAAATATTCTCAAGTTTCTCTTGCGGCTGTTGTTGCTGCTGCTGCTGTTGTTGTTGCTGCTGAACTTGTTGTGGTGGTGCTTGTTGTGGGTTTTGAGGAATTTGAGGATTCACAGGCTGGGTCATTTGCCCTACTCCAATAGCTCCTGGTTGTTGTATAGGTGGAATATTCATTGTGAACCTAACAATGCAATCACGCTAAAAAATGCTGAAATTTTATACGTTGTCTGTATAAATGAATTTTATTAAAAATGTATCGTGTACTTAACATTGATAAGCTCATTTTCTTATTTAAAGAATGAGAATTAGATTTTATACATCTAATCACAACACAATCAAAACTTTAAATTATAATCAACTAAATACCGATACTTTTACTCATTAATGAATTCATTTTTATAAATTTCAAAATATCTTTACTTTCATTTGAAGTTAGTCCGTGATAAAAATTAAATGTTACCTATTTTTCTTTCATAAACAAATGGTATTCAAAGCATTTTACGGCATTTGAACATATTCAACTAAAAAATAAACGTACCTAAATGGTCATTGGGATCATAACAAAGCTTTCTAAACAAGCCAACAGAGGGCTACGTAGCGTAACTGATTCCTACAAATTTTACTATACCAACTTTCTTCCAAAATTCCGTTCTATAAAATGTAAATCCTTATAATTACAATTTTTAAGTAAATTCTTAATAATAACTGTGCCCTTATAACTTACCTAGACCTTTTAAATACTTTTGCTTATTGTATAAAACAAGGTGCCGAACTGCTTCCCCTCAAGTTAGTGACTTCTGATCAGCGATTCCTTTTCTACCTTCACTTTCGGAGCTGTACGAAGCTGTGTACGTGAACAGTTCTATGAGTGTTCAGTACAAGCAGGGAAAAGTAGATATGGAGAGGGTAATTCTTCGTGAGGGGAAAGACCCTAGAGATTTCGTCAACTTCCAGTTCGACACCCCTGAGCTATACCGACTCGTTTCGATAATTAAGTTTTATATATTAAAAGGATGAAGCTGTCTTAATTAATTTCTGAAAGTTTCATTTGTGTTTTTTAAAATATTTTGTATACAAATTTGTAATTAAAATTGTTAAAAATTTGTAATCAATTTTGCTACATCTGTGTTCATACGCTTATATAGATAGTGTAACTTTAATGTCAAACGTTACTCTTTCTCAATAGGTAGAAAAAATAATTCTTTTTACTTCGAAATATAAATTTAGCATAGAATCATTCTTAATCTTATTTGCCATAAGTTAAAGGCATTATAAAAACGTAAAAGGTTTATGTGTTCAAAAATCGTAAGAATGAAATTGTAAAATGAAATAATGAATAAGTTCCCATTATTTGATATGTGTTTCCTTTCTACGTCGCATAAAATAAATGCAGTATACCGGTTATTATTCATAATTTGAATTTGTAGTTTTGTTTACGGTGTGTAAATACATTTACAGAACTATATTTTCATATATGTGTAATTTACTGTTTGCATTTCAAAATGTACATAAAATCTATGGTATTAGAGGGATTCAAATCATATGGAAAAAGAATTGAGATAAATGGTTTTGACAAAGAGTTCAATGCAATCACAGGATTCAATGGTAGTGGGAAATCAAACGTTTTGGATGCAATATGTTTTGTTTTAGGTATTTCAAATCTTAGCCAGGTATATATTATATTTTCTTATGTTTATGTTTATACAGCTTTCCAGTATTAACCTTTACACATGTTGCTTTTTTGAATAAAAGTAGTTATATATTGAATAAAAGTAGTTTTATATTGCATAGTATGCAATTTTATGTGATCACAAAAACATTTTAGCCACAAATAATATTATGTATCTAAAATTTGTTATGTACACAATAATATAACAAAATTATATTCTTTGTAAATTCTGGTTGTGTATTTGTTTATACTTATACTAATCTATATTTATTAATTATAGGTCCGTGCAACATCATTACAAGATTTAGTTTATAAGTCTGGTCAAGCAGGTATTAAGAAAGCTAGTGTTACAATAACATTTGACAATCATGATAGAAATTCCTCTCCAATGGGATATGAACATCACGAAGAAATAACAATTACAAGACAAGTTGTAATTGGTGGTAAAAATAAATATTTGATTAATGGATCCAATGTTCCAAACAAACGTGTGCAGGATATGTTTTGTTCTGTTCAATTGAATGTAAATAATCCTCACTTTTTGATCATGCAAGGAAGAATTACAAAAGTTTTGAATATGAAACCTACAGAAATTTTATCTATGATAGAAGAAGCTGCAGGTACACGAATGTATGAAAATAAAAAGGAGGCTGCTTTAAAAACTATAGAAAAGAAAGACAGCAAATTAAGGGAAATAAACGATGTATGACATAATATATAAATTTATGTATTCAGTTTATTGATAAATGCTTTAAAAAGTATATTTCATTTTAGATTTTGAAAGAAGAAATAGGACCAAGGTTAGCAAAACTCAAAGAGGAAAAGACACAATATGTGGAGTTTCAACGCATAGAAAGGGAATTAGAACATAGCAAAAGAATTTGTCTTGCTTGGAAATATGTGAATGCTATAAATGAAAGTGAAAAAGCAGAAGGAAATGTACAAGCTGTTAAGGATAAAATAGATGAAAAAACAAAAAGTATTGCACTTGGTGAAGAAGAAATTAAAAATATAGATAAAGAATATGATGATATTGTCAAAACAAGAGATACAGTGTGTATTTTTTAAAAAACTAAATTATTATATTTTTATATAACTCAATTACTTATTTCTTTTAGGAAATGGGAAGCCAATTACAAACATTAGAAAAGGAATTAGGAGAAGCAGAGAAAAAGCAATATAAGTTATCAGCTGAAGTTAATAGTAGCAAAGAAAGTAATAAAGCTGCTAAAAAGGCTGTGGAACAATTGAAGACTAACATAGATGATGATGAAAAGGCTTTTAAATCAAAACAGGAAGAGTATGCTAAAGTTGAAGGTCTTTTTAAGCAATTGAGAGAGACAGATCAACAGGATTGTAATGCATTACGGGTTGCACAAGAGAAATATCAAAAAATTACTTCTGGTTTATTGGAAAGTCAAGATGGTGAAAATGCAACATTAGAACAACAATTAATAGCAGCGAAACAAGCAGCGACGGAAGCACAGACAGAGTATAAACAATGTGAAATGACATTAAATCATAATAGGGAACAATTAAAGAGGAAGAAAATAGACCTAAAAAATACCGGGAATGAATATAAAAAATATACTAAAGATCTTGAAGATAAAGAGAAAGATCTAAAAAATTTGGAAAATGAACTAAAGAAACTTAATTATCAAGATGGAACTGCAGAACAATTAAAACAGCAAAGGCATACATTGAAATCTGAAATAAGAGTATTAGAAGAAAAAGTAGATTACTTTGAATCCAGACATCCGCAAATTAGGTTTGAATATCAAAAACCTGAGCCTAATTTCAATTCTAATTCTGTAAAAGGAGTGGTTTGTAAACTAATTACAGTCAAGGATAAACGAGCTGCATATGCTTTAGATATTGCTGCAGGAGGAAAGGTAAGAACTTAGGGATTCTTATACAGAAGTAATATTACAAATTTTGTTTAGCACTGAAGATTAAAATTGCAATTAAATTGTTAAATTTCAGTTGTATAATGTAATAGTCGATACAGAAACTACTAGTAAAAAATTGCTTCAACGTGGACAATTACGAACACGTGTTACTATTATTCCTTTGAATAAAGTAAACGGAAGAGCAATGGACAATCAAATAATTCATTTGGCCCAAAAGATAGGCGGAGTTGAGAATGTACAACCGGCATTGTCTCTTATAGATTTCCCGGAACAAACTCTGTCAGCTATGACTTGGATTTTTGGACAAATCTTTATCTGTAAAGACATTGAAACTGCTAAGAAAATTGCATTTCACGAGAGAATTATGAAGAAATGTGTTACCTTGGAGGGCGATGTTGTTGATCCCGCTGGTACCTTATCTGGTGGTGCAGCATCAAAGTCAGGTTCTATGTTATTAAAGATAGAAGAGTTAAATGCTATACAAAAAGAGTTGAATAGTAAACAACAAAGTTTTCAAGGGATTGAGACTACTCTGGCAAGTGTGGCTAATGTTGCGGAAAACTATATGTCATTGAAACAAAAATTTGATTTACGGAATTATGAAATCGGTATGGTAAAACAAAGATTAGAACAAACAGTTTATTATAAAATAAAAGAAGAGGTATGCCTTGATAGTTTAACATAACAAAATAGGGTCCTGTTCTTCAATATTTATGTATTTATTTTTTAGATTGATGAATTAGAGAAAAGTATTCAAGAACTTTTAGAAAAAATGGCAACAGCAGAAAAAAATGAAAAGGCAAGTTCTAAACGCGCTGAAGAACTAGAACACCAATTAAAGGATTCAGCTAATATTCGCGAAAAGCAATTGAAAGAAGCCGGGAAAGAATTAGAAAGATTGAAGAAAAAGGCAGAGAATAGTCGTAAAGAGTGGCAAAAACGAGAACAGGAAGCAGAAACACTTGAATTAGAAATTAAAGAATTACAAAAGAGTATTGAAACTGGCAAAGAACAGTTACAATCTTCAGAAGAAAAATTAAAAGCGCAAAAAGAAACAGCAAATACATTAGAAGAAGAATTAAATGAAGCAAAAAACAATGTGAAACAATTACAGTCCAAAGTAAAAGAACAGAAAGACATTATTAATAAACAGAATGTTAAAATGCGGAAGCTCATGGCGAAAAAAGAAGATATTATAAAACAAAACAAAGATGCAGAGTTAGATATTAAAAAGTTAAGTCATGAGATTAATTCAATAAAAAGTTGTGCTGCAGATTGCAAACAAAAGGTTTTGGAACTTCTACGTAAATACGAATGGATTGAACAAGATAAGATATATTTTGGGAAAGCAGGTCATTTTTAATTTATACGATTACAATATATTTCTTTTACATTATAATATCTAACTTTAATCAATGAATTTGTTACATATCTTTTTTCTTTATTACAGGTGGTATTTACGACTTTGAAGTAAATAAACCTGATAAAATGGAAGAAAAAGTACACAGGCTACAGACATTACGTGAAAAGTTAAGTCGGAACATTAATACACGCGCTATTAGCCTACTCGATAAAGAAGAAGAACAATATAATGAAATGATGAAGAAAAAGAAAATAGTTGAAAGTGATAAAAACAAAATATTAGAAACCATTAAACATTTGGATGAAAAGAAAAGAGAAACATTGCTTAAAGCTTGTGAACAAGTACTATTAATTAATATTTTTATAATTATTATTTGAGTCATATAAAAAATTTAATGAAAATTGTTTCTAGGTAAATAAAGATTTCGGGTCGATATTTAGTAGTTTGTTACCGGGAGCTGATGCAAAATTACAGGCTCCTGCAAATCAAACAGTCACGGAGGGTTTAGAAGTAAAAATCGCGTTTTCTGGTATTTGGAAAGAGTCACTTGGAGAATTATCTGGAGGTCAGAAATCTCTAGTAGCTTTATCTTTAATTTTAGCTATGCTTTTATTCAAACCCGCGCCTCTTTATATTTTGGATGAAGTTGATGCTGCTTTGGACCTCTCTCATACAGAGAATATTGGTGTCATGTTGAAAAAACACTTTAAACATTCACAATTTATTGTTGTATCATTGAAAGATGGTATGTTCAACAATGCTAATGTAATATTTACTACTAAATTTGTTGACGGAATGTCAACAATATCTAGGAGTCACAAAGTAAGAAATAAGTGAATATAGATTTAAGGTAACATAGATTTACTTGTATAAATAAATTAATATTTTTTCTACCTATAATGAAAAATTACATATTTTAATATATTACCTAATAATTAGTTTTTACGTAACTATTTCTGTACAATAATGTGGGATCAGAACATTTCAGAACCTTAGGATGCAGTTTTAAAAAAATTAAGAAAAAAGGCATTGTTTTATAAGAACTTTTTTCCACAAGATCTTCAAATACTAAACTAATTTTTATACATTAAGTTTTAAATAATCTTACAATGACTCGCGATTATTAAACATAATCAATACATTAAATTCCTTACGGAAAAAGTTAAATCTGAAACATAATAATTTATTGTGAAATGTTTCTGAAGTGTTCGTTTTTTAAGCATTTAAGTACATAAGTATACAACGAAACTTGTCTAAATATACATATATATATATATTTTTTTTTTCTTTACGAAAGAATTATCTGAAGTTGTTTTTTGGGGACTTCACAGGTGGTAAAGTTTCTTACCAATCATAGAATGTATCTACCAAACTTGACCAATCAATTTCTTTAAAGAAGGGGTGTTGCTTTATCTCGGATATTGTCAACCTTTCACTTGGCTCATGTTTTAGTAGCTGAAAATTTTTGAAATTTGTTGCAGACGTGGAACAAAATATATTTACAATTAAAACACTATCTAGAAACTTACATTAAGTAGCAAGGATTTCGCATTCTCCGACAGTTTGCAAGGAATGCTAAGTAGGGAATGTGATTGAAATACATTTGGATGCATCATCTGAAATTTCTGAAACATAAATGTACCATATAATTCATTCGTTTAATCACTTAGTAGTTGTATGATTTTTATATTAACATACATTGCCTACTAATAATTCATATAAGATTACTCCGTAACTCCAAATGTCCGTAGCTGAAGTAAGACGAATCATTGGTGAAAACATAGATAATTCAGGAGATGCATAAGGGTGCTTATATTTCAATAAATCTATGTTATGAGTGGGTATAACATATTTTAGTTGAACGTGTCCATTGTCGTCAAGTAATATACTATCTGGTTTTAAATCAAACACTACAACGTCCTGTTGATGTAATGCTTCTAATGCTAAAAGTATTTCAGCAGCCCAAAGGCGAATTACATTTTCTGGTATTGTCCACAGAACTTCATCATCATCCATGGTGTTCTTTATAGATTCCATTGTGATGTCACCATGATGTATCTGTTCATCGACCGATGCGTAATAATTATTTTTCTCATTTTTATCGTAAGATTTTATTGATTTTTTAAATTCAAAATTATTTGTAACATTATCTGATTTATCGCTAATTTGATGATCTATTGTAATATATTTGTCAGCAGTTTTTAAATTGTCTGTCGAAGAACTTGTAGATTCCTTTTCATCGCAACTAAGGTCTCTAAAACTATCACTTAGTGATGAATTGTCAGTGCTACATTGACTTTTTACCTTTTTATTATCATTTACTGATAAGTAAATGGAAATTATCACATTCTTTTCAGGTATTTTTTCGACTGTAGCATCTTTACTTTTATTATCAATTTCTAGTGATACCTTGTTAATATCCCCTGGTACTTCTGTCCAATTTTTAGATTGGTTTATACTATTTTTAAGATTTAAGAAATTAGTATTATAGTCATGGTTCAAGTAATCAGATTCACGTAATCGATTGGCTACAGTATTACTTTCTTTTAATGTTGCATTAACTGATTGTAACAGTATTTGCGCCTTTTCTAATAATTGTGTAGTAGATAGATCCCTATGTATTTCATCTTTTTTATCTACTGACACTGGATTTATCGTCATTTGTACTTTAGAGTTTGTACTAATCAATTTTAAATTATCTAATGATGCTGTTCCTTCAATTTTATTTTTGATACTATTTTTCGCCAAAATAATGTTACTATCACTGACAGATTTTTCAATATTATTTTCCATTATTATTTTATCACATGATCTATTGTTGTTAGACGGGGTATAATGTAATGTTATAAAATCCCACAATTTTCCGCGGCTGAAATACAATTATAAGATTATATTTTAATTAATTCAATTAAATAATAATTACATCTAGTAGTACAAACACCAAATATTTACCTTAGATGTTGTAAAACTAAGAATACTCTTGTTTCTGTATCAATGCATGCATGTAATTGTACCATATATGGTACTTGACCACGTAATATATAATTACTTATATTTTCTTTATTCGATGGAGATTTTTCTATAGTCTGGAATAAAAAGATTAAAATTGAGAGTTCAATATGTCTTGATATGAATACATTGCATAGAGAATAGAATAATCATTGCATAATTCATACTTTTACAATATTGAGGCAGTTTCTGCGTACATCTTTTACAAGCATCGCTGTTTTCAAAATTTTTAACACCTTGTAATGTTGAAGCTCTGAAATAGGTTTACTTAACAAAGATATATTACAATTGAGATATCTGTTATAAAGTTTTTCAGCACGTTCTAAGTATTTTGATATTTTTTCTTTAATTATTTCTGCCCTTATTTTATTTGAATCTGTTTCAACCCCAGATCGTAAACTAGAGATTCCCATTTTATACTGGGTAAATGCTTCCTCATACTCTGTAAGATCTTCATGTTTAAAGGCTGCATTCATATGTGCAGCTGCAACTAAAATGTATTGTGAAGAATCTGACCACACTTGTGGTAAATCAGAACCATCGTGCATTGTTACCAAAGTATTTGCATCTGCAGGGAATGTATTAACGTTTGTATTACTTGATGTTTGTGTAATTGCACAATCTTTGTCATTCTGAAAATTATGATTTGAATCTTCATAGCAATTGTTATTTTTCTTACAAATTATTTGCTTATCTTCTATGCTGCATATACTTTTGTCTATATTGTTATCCTTTGCAAGCAAATTATCATTTGCATGTTTTGTCATGGATGTTTGTTTATCTTCAATCTTAGACTTTGTGTCATTTAACTGTACATATTGTAATTCTTTAGATTTACATGTTTCTTGAGAATACCTTGTATCATTTTCTGACATGGAAATAGGTAATATAGAACTATGAATGACTTTAGGCTCAAAAATACTTTGAGAAACAATACTATCAGTGGGTGAATGATTTACATGAATATGACGATCATCTTCTACAGATGTATCAGAACTAAGAGATTCTGAACAGTCATTCACAGAATAATCCTCATGACTAGTTTCAAAAAATTTTATGAAAATATCACTAGAAAATAAATATGAATGTCTTCCTACAAATTCTAAAAATTTTAATGCACATTCCCTTCTTTCTTCTATAACTTCAGCTTCAAATCTGCCAAAAAATTTTGGCTTTGGAAATGATGGATAACTCTCTTTAATTTGAGAGCGTGCACATAGAATGCTTAATTCCGAATGAAGCTTCTTAAAGTCATTATAACGCTTCCATACAGATACTTTAGATATTTCTTCATGAGAAGATTTTAAAAATACCTAAAATATATATAAATATATATACTATTGTAAATTACAGTTTGAGTTAAGTAAAAACGTTTTATACGTAAAAGTATTAAATGGTCACTTCATTTTCATGCATATTAAGTTTAAATGAAATTATAGCACAGAATATTAAATAAACGTCAATTAGCTATTTTATCGTAAAAATGATTGAATAAATAACGCATTGAAAAAGAGTAATTAAAACAATAATTTCTGCTACATGTCATACCACAGATGTGACTTTGTAGATAGTAAAGCCTTTCTTATGTCGTGTCGTTCCGGGAATAATAAAACGTCTCATCCATTTGTCTTTTGTGGATGCCATCGTTTGTATAATTAAACCATAAAACCAGAAGCTCGATAAATTGATCACTTATCGTTTTAATTCGCACATTTTTACCATCATATTTTCACGTATCAGGCTTTTTTCTTCTTTTGCGAGGCATGTATAATGCGATTAGTTAATTGTCAATTACTGTCATTTACATGCATTCATATTCATTGGTGTTATAAATGTATCCATCATTTGGAATAACTGTTTATAAAGTATGTACTTTATAATTCTCAGTAAAAAATGCACTATTGTCTACATAACTTAAGTCACTGCAAACAAAGTTTAAGTGAGTATTACTCTTTATTTTTCACTTGTTTTAAAAATGTTATTATATAAATAGTAAAATAAACTAGGTTATATTATCACTATTATAATTTCAGGTCAATTCTACGTTGTTACACTGGTTTTGTATAATAAATGGGCAACTACCAGAGAATTAGTGAGCCATCCACTGACTTCGATCTATCCTTTCTTACTGCCTGAGCGCTATTGCGCGTGCGACTGTTTGTTCTGAACTTAAAAATCGGTAGAACTAAAGTGAATAAAAGCAAGGTAATCATGGGTATTTGTTTCACAAATGTTTTTATATAATCATTTTGCTGTTATGAAAATATATCAGTTATACATAATTTTTTATTTAATTACATGGAAGTTGCGTTTTATAAATGTATAATATTTCAAATATCTGAGTATGGTGTCATAATATGCAATAGTACTTTCCCATTTTTTCCCTCTAATAATAACTAATAAAAGTAGCATACTATAGGAAAACTTTTTTTATCATTTTAGATTACCTATCGTAGTTTTCAAATGACGTATTGATAGTGGACAATTTATTAAAGAATCGTTCGCTACTGCTTGAGAGATTATATAGTTATCAATACCATTTGTTAATAGTAGTGTGCTTGTAAAATTGAAAGTTTGATTAATTTGCAATAAGAAGCACAATTCGTATGTGACAATATTTAAATAGAATAATTTATGTTATCAAAGAAACAAAAGCTGTCAAGAGGTATAAAAATAATAAATTCCGCGGTGCGAAATACATAGTAGCGCCATCTATCAAATTCGGAGTAATCATTTGAAAATGGGCGTAGAATTACTAGGTCAATATAGAATTCTGTATTAAAGTTTGACATTACCGACAATTCACGCGTTTGGGTTTGTAGCAGCACCACAGATAAGAGGCAGGATAAATTCGACATGGAAAAAATCCACGTTATGTTATTCCACCTACAAATAAGAATAGTGAGTTTAAGAACACAGACACACTTAAGTCTGTGCAAATAAATAGCAATAAATAAATAAAAATATTGTTTAAATACTTCACTGCAGATGATTGCATACTTCGTATTTAAATTGCAAAATTATCGCAGCCAATTAGCCTACCATGATCCTTTTACAGAAAATATTATAATAAGGATAATGGTAGTTGCCCAGGTCTCACCACGTGGAGGTTGCTGCGACGAGACCCTGGGAGGTGGATGGAAATTCAATTCCATCGACCTCCGTTCTTAATTCTAAATCTTATTTTAAACGCATTTGTCGCTATTGCACTTAATACTAATCCCACGGCGGCTGTATTCTTTCTTGAGTCTGTACTGAAATGAAGAAATACATTGCAATAATTAGTAATATGGGGTTAATATATCAGAATTAATAAATGAAACGATGTATCCCACGGTGGACGATCGATGTCTTCTTTCGCTCGCTTAATTCTAACGCAGGTTAGCCGACGTATGACTTACACTATACAATCATCGCAGTATAGGGAGTGAATCAAGGATGAAGTCCTTGATTCGAGCATCAGGCGAATCAGGGAAGAAGTCCCTGATTCAGCAAGAGCAAAATTGGGGATACAATCTTACTTCTAACATAGTTTCGCCTTATAAGACTACGCATAGGTCGCAGATATGCCGAGCAATTATCGGACCAAGAAGCAAAGGAAGCGAATCAAGGAAGAAGTCCTTGATTCGGCAACTGGGAAAATCAGAGAAGAAGTCTCTGATTTAAAAAGGAGGGTGACGCGAGCAAACCGCGATCAACCACTCAGAACCACAGTCCCGAGTTACGGTGCTCTTCCTCTTTCGGATCAGCGGACGGACACGTACTCTTCTTAGGCGCCCGTTAACTTCCCAACGCCCGGCCCTGTGGCGGAGCCACAGGACTAGGGGCGGTTTACGAAGAAGTAGGATCCTAGGAAGAGCAATGCCGTGAGTCGTCGGCGCGAGCACCACCCGGCCCACGGTGTGACCGTCATGATCTTACTCGCGAGTCCAAGCACCGAGATACGCGAACTGCAGAACTGACTGGCGTCACACGGCCCGATGCACTTGCAAACATGGCCAAGTGAACCGGAGAAGATGGAGACAGGCGAAATCAGAGAATGAAGCTAAAGAATAACTACTCGGCATATTTTACACAATTCGCAGCCATTGGCCTAG